CTGCAGCGTTAGAGACGTGGAGCGCACACAACCAAGTCGGCGGAATTGAAGAAGTTCGTGCACGACCGCTGGACAGCTCCTGTCTCCTAACGTGCGAGGTCCCTCTAAAAACTACCTCACGACGGAAGCCTAATTGGGCAGGAATGTAGCTCTGATACTAGCTGTTTTTATAATCTCCGGATAGGAGTCAAGTAATGCAACAGTGAGGTCGTGATTAATGTGTGTCGAGTACAAATGAAGCATGAGGCTGAATACAAGTACAGCTAGTCTAGCAAGAGAGCCTCGAGGAAGGCCACGAAACACATGCAAGGTGGTTTGGGGTGCCTCGGGACTCGGAAGTGTCAGACGTGATGCCGTGTGTAGGCTTGGGGTCTCGAACGTAGTTCGAACCTGAATTGTCGAGACGCGCCTGGACTTCCGAAAGTCAGGGCTGTACTCGATGTTAGCGAGGCTCGATAAGGAAAAAGGGATTTTCCTTACACGGTTCAGCAGAATTCAACACTCTGTATGTTTAAACGTAAGTAGTTCGTTAGGAATTGCGTAAGTGTGAGGCTCTATGATACAAAACCATTGACGGATTCCTGATCTGGGCTCTTGAGTTTCACCCTTAGTGACCTGACACGTGGTAGGAATTTACAAGTGTCACATGAGGGGAAATCAGCCAAAGCATCTTTAGACCCAAATCCGGATGAAACATAAATCAACATCCCCCGAATCCGGACGAAACAGAGTGCGAGGAGAGGGGGTTTCCGGGAGAAACAGAGTATTGAAAAAACTTAGCATCGGCCCTGCTCCCTACGTCATGGGGCTTCCCAGATTCGACTGGCCTACAGACCGTATTCCCATAGTGCAAACTCCAAGAATTTTGGAACGAGGCACTTAGCGCATAGGGCGGTACGCCCCAGGCAAATTTGCTTGTAGCGTTCCCAAGAACGTAGGAGCGCTGTCGTATGCGCAGCTGGAAGGGGCGGGGACGATTTCGTATGCTCAGCTGGCAGGGGTGGGGACGCTGTCGTTAGCTGCGACAGGGTCCACGTAGGCATGTCGCGACGTGTTCGCATGGCGTGTCCTCTCTGGGTTTCAGGTGCGCACGCTAATTGATGTGTTGCCACAAGAACAAAAAAAAGATTTGACTCCTTACGGTCAATTGATTCGACAATGGACAGATTCGAAACTATATGAAGTTGGAAACACCAAATAACAGCGTAAAACAACGATTAACAACACAACTATTTAAAAACTACAGCGCACATCGACGAGGAGGAGTACGTGGCGGCACACCTCTGTGTTCCATCTTCGCAGATGGCATGCTTTGATTGGCTATCATGGTGTTTCCGCGTCAGCCCGTGAGTGGGTGGATCGCATTGATGTGAGATTTTTTGGCATTTCTGGCACATTGAGATCGCAACTTGGTGTCAAACACGCAGGAGCCCATTGACGTGGATCAGACGATTTCAACTAGTGGCGACAAAAATTCACATGCTGTCTGCACCTGTTTCCATTGGCCAAGTTGCGTACGTGGGTGCTGTACCTACGAAATCATTGCACCCGTAAAAAAATTGCGCCTGTCGTCGTTGCACCACTCGCATATGACCTGTACATATCTCTGACAATTCAGATGAGCCAATTAGAGATTCTACAAACGAAGCTCGTTAGAGTCGCACAAGATTTGAGGGTGCCGTATATTTAATCGCACAAGTACAGTGGTAGGAAAAATTGTCCACATGTTTAGCACGTTTTTACATTTTGACCAGTTGTACGCTGTAAACATTAAGCCTTAATCCATCGTGGCCATACACGTAGAGAAGAGCAGTTAGAGCACTCAATCAAGCCCCCTAAAAGCAGAGTAGTACATTACATGGTCCTTCAACACGACAGCATTTAATAACAGCACATCCGGACAATTTGTACCGAGGACAGGCAGCAAACTAGTTACTATCAAAACTAGTACCTAGTCCAGCGTCCCTCTGCGCGGATCACCGCCTTGATCCTCATTGGCATACTGTCGATTAGGTTTGAGCACACTTCCGCCAGAATCTTGTCCCATTCCTCTTGCACCAGACGTGACTTGTGCTTGGGATCATTATCGTGCTGGAATATGACATCTGAGGGGGGGAGCTTATAAAAATCGATGGTTTGAGACAGTTCATCTTGCAAGATGCTGCGATACAGCGGCCCATCCATCCTTCCATTGATCTTGCACATCAAACCCACCCCCTCATACGTCATGCAACCCCACACCATCACAGAGCCGCCCCCATGCTTAACTGTCTGCTGGATCAGGTGGCTCTGGAGTTTGCTGCCCGTGCGAATCCAGGCGTACGCACGTCCGTCGGAGCTGAAACGATTAATCTTCATCTTATCAAACCATAACACACGCTTCCAGTCCTCCATCGTCTAGTCGGCATGAGACCTCGCAAAAATCCAGCCGGTCTCGTATGTTTTTCGCAAAGAGCCTGGGTTTCTTGGGCTGCTGCACAGCGATCGGACCCGCGGATCGTAACGAGTTCCTAACGGTCTTCGAGTCTACAACCAGAGCGTGCTTCTCCTATAGCATCTTCACGGCGTCCACACTTGTTTTCGCCTCCCCGCTGGTAATCGCACGAACTATACCGCACTGGAGGCAATTTGTAGTTAACCGTGGATGGCCGACCAGGGGCATTGTAGGTCGCACCTCATCACGACTAGTCTCGGCAATCGCCTTCAACCCGAAATCATGCATGGTACTTTTGCCTATGCCAAGCTCCATGGCTATTTTCCTAGTCGACACCCCCTTACGCAACATGCTTACGATACGCGCGCGCTTCTTCTCATCTACCGGCTTCATCGTCTTGCGGTCGCAGGTTAACTTCTGGCCTAAATCCTATACTAACGGTTGTTGCGTGAAACGGTATGTACGTTAAGTGGCGAGCAAAATTAGATCTAGGCTGTCGCTCGGTATGAACTGTCCGCAGACGCTGGAGTGCGGGGTGACCTAGACGGTGGTTCCACAGGAGTGTCGGGTGAGTGAGCGACCGACAGGAGCAGGCCGCAGCAACCTGGGTAGACGCAGCCACTTGAGAAGACGTCCCTACCAGGGGGTTCGCAGTGTCCAGTGTGAACAGACCGGACACCGGGTCCCGGGGGAACGTGGTGAGGGGGGCACCAGTGGCGGCCTCGGTACAGACAGCGTACCGCTCGTGACCAGGGAACGTAGTGGTGACGCCAAGGTCCCTGGAGGCAGCCGACACCAACTAGGTTCCTGGAGAACGAGGGGATGTGCAGGCCTGTAAGAGAGCCCGAAGGAACCGCTGGACAGGGAAGGGTGGTGGAACTGCGAGCGACTACCGGGCCGGAGGAGGGGTCGGCAAGAGAAACTGCAGCAGGAGTAGCAAGAGGCGTCAGCGTAGTGGAGTTACGGAAGAAACACCGAGAAGACAGAGCAACGACAGTAGAACCTAGGCTAAACAAAACAGGAGAGCGCAGAAGTGGCGTCTGAAGACAGAGCAACAACAGTAGAACCTAGGCTAAACAAAGCAGGGGATCCTACGCCTGACGCAGCAGGGGATCCTACGCCTGACGCAGCAGGGGAGGTACGACTAGACATGCCTACACTAGGCAACAAGGGGTAGTAAGAAGCAGTCACACTAGAGTCATCAGCATACATCACATGCAGGGCAGCAACAATCTTATCCATGTCCATATCAAAGATTTGAACACTACGGCGAAGCAAGCTATGCCAGTCGGGGAGGTCGGGCGATGGGCCGAAGCGCTGATGAAACAGGTCGTCCAGGCGACGGAAATAGCGGACGGAGGTGTGACCGATCTTACCGCAAACGGCATTGCAGCTGGGTCTCAGTGCAGGCAGCACTTCTATCGTGCGCAGGTGAGCGGCGAGGTCAGCGACAGTAGGGAAGGACGCAAGGTCAGGGAAGAGCATCGGCAGGATCAGGCAACCTACAGAGGCAGCGGGCGGGGTGGAATAGCGCTTGACGACGTCATCTAGAAACTCCTGCGCAGTCGTGAATGACCTAAAGCGTGGGTGCTCAGACAGGGGGAGGGCATGACTGATCGCAAGCTGCGCGACGGCGTCACGTGACAGCCAAACTGAGCGGGCAAAGGCAGCAGCTGCGGCGGACTCACGGTCAGCGGACGAGGGGTCAGCGGGCAGGGGAGCAGGGGGGTCAGGGCAGGGGAGCGTACCATCAAGATGGACTGCTAGGGAGTGGCCCTCCTGCCGCTGACCTGTGAGGTGACACCGGAGGTCGACCAGCCACGTGTCAAACTCGAGCGGCTGTTCCTCTGCGTCGAAGCGGAGCACGGAGTCCGCCATCAGGAGCGATGCAGCAGCGACGCAGTGCTGTGCGGTGCAATGCGGTGCTGTGCGGTGCGGTGCAGAGCGGTGCTGAGCTGGGCAGAGCGGTGCAGAGCGGTGCCGGGCCGAGCAGGTACAGGCACGGGGGCCAGTGAGTAACGAGCATGGGGCCGGCTAGGAACGGGCGCGCTGAGGCCTGCAGGAACGGGCGCTAGAGGACGAGGAGCCGGCTAGGACGAGCGGTAGGAGGGGAGGAGCCGGCTAGGACGAGCGCATGACGGCTCAGGGGGGAGGGGGCGGCTAGGAACGGGCGCGACGGCTCAGGGGGGGGGGGCGGCTAGGACGGGCGCGACGGCTCAAGGGGCCAGCTAGGAACGGGCGCGACGGCTCAGGGGGCCGGCTATGACGGGCGCGACGGCTCAGGGGGCCGGCTAGGAACAGGCGCAACGGCTCAGGGGGCCGGCTAGGAACGGGCGTGACGGCTCAGGGGGCCGGCTAGGAAGGGCGTGAGGGCCGGTAGGAACAAGCGCGCGACTAGCTAGGGGCGGCGCGACGAGGGCCTAGGGCGGAAGCGTGAGCGTCAGGACCTACCTACCAAGCGTGATACCATCTTAACGTAGAATCGAATGTCGAGAGAAAACAGTAGAGGGGTATAAGTGTTGTACCCTCTAAGATACAAACCTATACTCTATACAAACATAAACTATATATGTTTGACAAAACTTACCCACATGATGTTACTAGAGTTTCTACAGAATCACCTATCCCATGCCATAACAATTCATGGTATCAAGCCGGGGAAATGAGCAGCACACACGCGTGCATGCTTTTGCATTTCATTCAAGCCCGCTGCACGCTCAAGATAATCCGTATGTGCTCAACCTTGTAACGGAGCGAGTGGTAGATGGAGGTTCGCTGAAAACCCGTGTAGGAGGCTGACCGACTAGGTCACAAGGGTCGAGACGAGACTGTCAGTATGAGAAATCTGTCCCTCCGGCTCCTCTCTCAAGCTGCACCTATTCGTTCTGCTGCCATAGTTTTAGCTGCCGCTGCTCCTGCTCCTGCTGCTCGTCCTGTTGCTGCAGTATTGAGTCTCCTCTCCAGCTGCTCTCCCAAGCTGCTCCTGTTCCTTCTGCTGACATTGTTTCATCTGCCCCTGCTCCTGCACCAGCGGCTGCTGCTCTTGTCACTGCTGCGGGGAGGACGTTGCTGCGACTGTGGCGGGCAAAGCAGAAGTGGCTGCTGTAGCAGCAGCAGTAGCAGCACTTGTAGCAGCAGCAGTAGCAGCACTTGTAGCAGCAGGAGTTGCAGTAGCAGCAGCAGGGGTGGGAGGAGGAACGATTGTTGCAGCGAGCAAAGGAGGTCCAGCAGCAGGAGATATTGCTGTAGCAGCACTCAGCACGTCTGTAGCAGCAGTAGGCACGGCTGTAGCAGCAGGAGCTGGTGACGCAGCAGCAGCAGGAAATGCTGAGGCAGCAGCACTAGGTATGGCTGTAGCAACAGCAGTAGGCACGGCTGTGGCACCGTGAGAAAAGGGACTGATGAGAGGTCCGTTGCTGGTGCCAGGAGTCCTTCCTGCACCAGCAGCTCCTGCTGGCCTTGTAACGGTTGCAGCACCGGTTACCATAGCAGCACCGGTTGCAGTTGGAGCACCAGTGACTGTTCCAGCACAGGCTGCCGTCGTTGTGTGTGCAACAGGTGTAAGCTGATTCTGCCTGGAGCTTACTCTGGGCGGACTTATCAACAGTACGGGTGATTTACCCATCTGTTGTGCCGCCACTGATCTAGGGCTCAACATAGGGGGAATCAACAATTTTCTGGGTAATTTACCCGTCGGTCCTGTGCCGGGTGGGCTTATGGTGCGTGAAAGCGCTCTGGGGCTGGGAGCAAGAGGCAGCCTCAGAAGCCCGCTCCGGCTGGGGCTGCTAGCAGCAGTGCCTGATGCACTCGCAGCATTGGCAGTGCTAGCAACCCTACCAGTATTTGCATTAGCAGCGTTGGCAATGCGAGCAGTGCTAGCAACACTAGCTGTCTTGGCAACGTTAGCAGTGGCATTGAAGTCAGCAAGGGTGGTGACTGCAGGCGTGCAGTTGCGAGGTGTGGTGTTTGGCAAAGGGAGAACCAGTGCTGGTGGTTGCTGCGGTTGCTGCTGCTGCTGATGTTGCTGTTGCTGATTCAACGGCTGATGCTGATGATGTTGCTGTGCTTGTTGCTGTGCCTGCTGTGGCTGTTGCGCTTGTTGCATGTGCGGTAGTCGTGGCACCCGGAGAGGAGGAGGAATCTTCAGCATCGGTTGTGCCACGCGGCTCTGCGCTCCTGTCTGTTGTTGCGTCCACCTCTCAAAATGCTGCTGCTGCTGCTGTTGCTGCTGCTCCCCTCTTGCACCAGGTTGACTGGGTTGACTGGGTTGACTGTGTTGACTGGGTTGACTGGGTTGACTGTGTTGACTGGGTTGACCGGCAACCAAAGGGGACTGCAACAATGATGCCAGTGACAGTGAGAGCTGTCCAGTCACATTTCCTTGCTGCCCAGCCACATTTCCTTGCTGCCCGGCCACATTTCCTTGCTGCCCGGCCACATTTCCTTGCTGCCCGGCCACATTTCCTTGCTGCCCGGCCACATTTCCGTGCTGCCCGGACACATTTCCTTGCTGCCCAGCCACATTTCCTTGCTGCCCGGCCTCTCTCCCTTGCTGACCTGTCGCACTCCATTGCTGACCTGTCTGCATAGGCGCATGTGTAGTGTGTGGTTGAATCGTGAGCGAGTGGGTAGAAAGTGCAGGAGTGCTGTGTGTGGGCGTGGTGTACGTGGGGTTACCCATGCAAAAGCTTTTTGGAATTCCAAGCTGCTTTGGTCGCTGCTGCTGCTGCTGCTGTTGCTGCTGCACTAGCTGCTGCTGCGGATGCAGGAGATGGGGGGGAGGAGGGGGAATATGAAGAGGAAAATTCAGAGGAGGAAGATGGGGAGGGGCAGGAGGAGGAACAGGAGGAGGGTTTAGAGGGGGAGGAAGATGGGGGGGAGCAGCAGCAGGAACAGGAGCTGGAGGAGGAGGGGGTAGACTGTGGTTGTGTGACTGGTTACCTGTGTGCTGCTGGTTACCTGTGTGCTGCTGGTTACCTGTGTGCTGCTGGTTACCTGTGTGCTGCTGGTTACCTGTGTGCTGCTGGTTACCTGTGTGCTGCTGGTTACCTGTGTGCTGCTGGTTACCTGTGTGCTGCTGGTTACCTGTGTGCTGCTGGTTACCTGTGTGCTGCTGGTTACCTGTGTGCTGCTGGTTACCTGTGTGCTGCTGGTTACCTGTGTGCTGCTGGTTACCTGTGTGCTGCTGGTTACCTGTGTGCTGCTGGTTACCTGTGTGCTGCTGGTGGGTGAGTGAGCCTGTGCCTTGCTGGTGGTTGAGTGGGTCTGTGCCTTGCTGGTGGGTGAGAGGGCCGGTAACTTGCTGGTGGGCAGGAAGAAATGCGTGAGCTTGCAGATCGGAAGAGTGATCTGTGAAAAGTTGCTGCTCACACTGCTGCTGCTGTTGATGCTGCTGTTGTTGCTGCTGCTGCTGATGATGATGCTGCTGTTGATGTTGCTGTTGTTGCTGCTGTTGTTGCTGCTGCTGCTGATGATGATGCTGCTGTTGATGTTGCTGTTGTTGCTGCTGTTGTTGCTGCTGCTGCTGCTGCTGCTGCTGCTGCTGATAGTACTGCTGGTGCTGGTGCTGGTTCTGTTGCTGTTGCTGTTGTTGTTGCTGCTGCTGCTGCTGCTGCTGCTGCTGCTGCTGCTGCTGCTGCTGCTGCTGCTGCTGCTGCTGCTGCTGCTGCTGCTGCTGCTGCTGTCGTTGATAATGATCTTGTTGCTGTTGCTGCTGCGATTTTTGTTGCTGCTGTTGCATATAGTATTGATGTTGCTGCTGCTGCTGCTGCGGCTGCGGCTGTTGATAATGATAGTGCTGTTGCTGCTGCTGCTGCCACTGCGGCTGTGCTTGCTGCTGCTGTTGCTGCTGCTGCTGCTGCAGGGTCGAGCACGAAGCAGCAGCAACGGGAGCAAGAGGAGCAGAAGCGGGAGCAAAGAATGCAAGGGGCAATGAGGCAGGGGGGGTAGTAGCAGGAGGAGCGAGAGAGGGAGGAGGAGCAGAGGGAAGCGAAGCTGTAGGGGCCAGTGCTGGGGACGCAGGTGCAAACTGAGGAGGGGAGGGGAGGTGCGGGTGGGAGGGGGTGTGAGAAGCTGTAGGAGCCAAGGCTGGGGATGCAGGTGCAAGAGCGACACCAGCAGCACTGGCAGCACTGGCAGCACTGGCAGCATTGGCACCAGCACATGCAGCAGCAGCAGCAGCATCCTCAGCACCAAAAGTGCCAGCAGCAGCACTAGCACCAGCAGCAGCAGCACCATCAGCACCACCAGTGGCAGCATCCGCACCGCCAGTGACAGAAGCATGGTGCATCCAGGGCATGAGTGCTTGGATCCTGTCCTGCAGCTGCGCCTGCAGCGCCTCTATCTCCACCTTCAAGGCCGCCTTCTCCTGCCGTAACTCCGACTTCTCACTGCCCAACTGGAAAACGAAGGAGAGGAGCGTGGGGGGGCGAAGAAGGGGATAAAATGCTTGGACGGAGGAGACTACACTGCACGAGAGATGCAATAATCTCTTCAACAGCTGCGCCTGTAGCACCTCTATCTCCACCTTCAAGGCCGCCTTCTCCTGCCGTAACTCCGACTTTTCACTGCCCAACTGGAGCGAGGGGAGGTGAGTGAGGGGGAAGGGGAGGGAGAGTGCATGGGCGCGCTGCTCCTCGCCTGCAGCTGCGCCTGCAGCACCTCTATCTCCACATTTTCCTGCAGCTTTTTCCTGCCGTAACTCTGACTTCTCTGACCCGAGCTGCAGGGTTGAGGGGAGTCAAGAGGGTGTGTGAGGGCAGGAGAGGGAGGGAGGAGCATTGAGCGCTGATCCTCGCCTGCAGCTGCGCCTGCAGCGCCTTTATCTCCTCCTTCAAGGCCGCCTTCTCCTGCCGCAGGTCTGACTTCTCGCTGCCCAGCTGACGGAAACGGAAAAAAAAATTACACGGAGAGGAGAGAGGGTAAGGGGGCTGGAGGGGGAGGGGGGGGGGGAGGAGACAGTAATCACTCATATGTGTTTTGTTTCTAAGAATTCTTAAAAACAACCGTTGCAGAATCGCCAGCCCATCGCCTAATCTGGTGCTGCAGTCTACGACACCGAAAACTAACACTCAGCCGCAGCTGTCGCAGCATCGCCAGCCCATGCAGTGTGTTGTACAGAATAGTACTGCATATTACGACATGGTACTGCTCTGCACCGCACTGCACCCTCCTTTGACTCATCCATTAGAGCAGTGTGGTCTGATCTCAGCCGGCACACACTCAGCCGCAGCTGTCGCAGCATCGCCAGCCCATTGCCCAATGGGTCGCGCCGTAGGCACCACTCTGTAATGAACCACTGTGTACCGCACTGCACCCACCTCTTTGGACTCGTCCATCAGAGCAGCATGGTCAGACCGCAGGCGGCACACGCTCAGCCGCAGCTGCCGCAGCATCGCCAGCCCGTCGCCCAGAATGGTCGCCTTGTCGTTCTTTGGCCGCTCGGGATCTAGCCATACATTTATTTGCACCATGCCATGCCATTCCATGCCATGCCATGCCATGCATGCGTTTGTACCATGAGATGACATGACATGCCATGCCGCACATGTGCTCATGCCAGGCATTAAAAAGCGGGAAAAGCGCAAAGCGGAGGCGGCACACTCAGGACGCCGGTTAGTTCCGCGACTCGCAAGATCAGGCCAATGGGGGAAATGGGAATAGGCAATGGGGAAGGGAGGAGCGGGGAACGGGAACGGGAAAGGGAGGAGTGGGGAACGGGAACGGGGAAGGGAGGAGTGGGGAACGGGGAAGCGGGGGAGCGGGGAAGCGGGGGAGCAGGGAACGGGGGGGACGGACGGGAAGGGGAAAGCAGAACGGAAGGCGGACCTTGCGACGCCGCCCAGTTTCGGGAGCGCTCGTTGAGGCGCAAGGAGGAAGGTGAAGGGGAAGGGGAGGTGGAAGGGGAAGGGGAGGGGAGAGGCGGAAGGCGGGGAAGCGGGGAAGCGGGGAAACGGGGAAGCGGGGAAGCGGGGAAACGGGGAAACGGGGAAGCAAGGAGACGGGGAAGCGGGGGGAAGCGGGGAGACGCACTCAGCACGCAGGCCAGCTCGGCAAACTGGTCGTTCAGGCGGTCGCGCCGCAGCTTCTCCCGGTCCGCCTTGTGGATCTTCCGCAAAGTCCTTCCCCCCCCCCGGCCCGCCGCACCCGCCGCACCCGCCGCGGGCGGCGCTCCCCCGCTCCCCTGCGCGGCGTGCTCCGCGCCTTCCGCCGCTTCCGCGCCTTCCGCGCCTTCTGCCGATTCCGACTCCGCGTCTCGCCTGCAGCCTTGAAGGACCTGCAGTGTCGAATAGTGAGGCGTCGCAAAACCAATCTGAAGGCTCGGCGCCGGGTACGCAGCACTACTAGCAGCAGTTTGCCCCCGAAGCGCGCTTGCGAAGTCGCGCGTCGCCTCGCCAAGAGTAGTGGTGCTACTATTAAGTCGAAGGCCGCGAGTCATTTCCTCCCCGCGGCGCGGCCCTGGAGATTCCCTCCGGCAGCAGCTCGCATCCATTAGGTTCAGCGCGACACTCGGCGGCGAATGCGGCGGAAAAAGCGGCGATGAGTGCGGCGGGGAATGCGGGGGGGACTTCATTTCGCCGTCGATCCCGCGTTTCTTTCCTCCTCCCCCTTCTCCTCCTCCGCCGCCGCCGCCGCCGCCGCCGCCGCCGCCGCCGATTGAGTACATGCTTTTAGCAGAGAGGAATGCGTGCGTTCCTGCGACGTCGTTACCATTAACTTGAAAGCAGCCGCCCCCGCCGTCGTCTGTCGTATTCGGCGGGCCCATGGGCGGCACAGCCGTACTGTCCCGGCCGCCAGGACGAGATCAGGATCCAATCTCCGCGCGGCTCGCGCGATAGCCGACTTGGGAACTCGTCGCCCCCGCGACCCCCGCGGAAAATCGACTAGAGATGAGAATTCCTGAAGAAGGGTCCCGAAAGGGGTCTCAACTTGTAACAACTTTGTTACAACGGTCCTGAAAGGCGTGCGGCCTGCGATCTTGTAACAACTTTGTTACTCATTGAAATGAGTCACTGCGCGTCAGGTAACAGCGCGACAACCAACAACTAGTAGAGCGAGGTTTCGTCCGGAAGGCTCGGGCGAAAGAAACGTCCTAAATGCGGTGCGGCGTTGAGCGCGTCGGCAGACACGTGACGACTACGACTACTACGCGCGCGAGAAAGAGAAGATTACACGGGGGGTGCGGTGCGGCCTCGGTCGTGGTGTGGGAGACTCGCCTACAGAACATCCATTTCCACGCGATGACACAGTTTCTGTTGCCGCACGGCACGACTGACAGCACGGCTGACAGACAGCGCATGACTGTACAGTGAGAAGGAAGAGCCGCGGATCGGGCGGAGCGGGCGGAGCGGAAGGACTAGGAGGCGGTGAACAGCAAAACTCTGCCCCAGTGCGCGTAAGCCATGCACTCTGCCCGTCTCACTCATTTCCCCGCCATCCGCACTGGGACGAGACGACGCGACGGATTCAGTCATGTTCAAGAATCAAAGACCCCCCCAACCAAGGTGCGCTGAGGTTAGCGGAAACGACATGACCGTCCACGTATCCATCCACCACCACCCAGCACCGGAGCGACAGGGGCGCGTGCAGCGCCATGCATCACACGCGAGCCTCCGCTGGGGGGGCGCCGCTGAGTGAATGACAGACTCGACGAGAGAGTTTCGTCTCCATCAACTCGAGTCGAGACGAGAGAGAGCGACCTCGGCGCGCATCCGCGCACGGGCCTGCGCACGTGAGGCTCCAGCCCAGGGCGGCAGCATTACAGTTTGCGCCGCGACCTGAGCGCGGCCTCCCCACGGAGCTCCGAGCCTACGCTTCTTTCCAAACCTCCGAGGTTTATACCAAAGCTGAGCTCCGAGCCTCAGCTCATCCACAGTGAGTGCTGCTGCCAGGCCTACGCTTTTCCACGAGCCTACGCGACTGGGCTCGAGCGCGGGTCATTCTCTTGAACGAGCCCGCGAACGCATCATTCTCCCTCCAGACCAGACACAAAAGATCAGGGTACAGAACCGGGGGAAGGGGTGGCTTGGTCTGGCGATTGTGGAGCTTTGGGAGAGTCAAGGGTGGCGTGGTGAGCCGAGACATTTCCAAGAACGGAACGGATCTGTGGGGTTTGGTTGGTTGTGTTCAGGAAAAATGAAATTTCGACGAGGTGAGGAAGGTTCTGTGCGTTGTAGAGAGATATTCAATGGTCTTAACGGTTGATACTAAGGTTCGGACAACTAGGTTCACCTTCGGAAGTTTGGACAACAACCGAAGTTTGGACAGGAAAGCTGGTTTCTCAATCTGTACACCTATTTACCCAGAAAACAGCAGACCCCAGGTTTTTTTCCCAGTTTACTATTTTCCAAAGCCCAGGTCTCCACCTAAACGTGCACTGCAACAGTGTGTTTCAGCGAGAAATTGGCGGAGTAGTCGAGTCTCTATAAATTGATTGGTTAAGGAATGTACAATGATTTGATATTCAATAACACGAGTATACCCGTGAATTAGACTGTCATCCTGTGAAAAACGAAAAATTTACCTCATGTCCAAACTTCGGTTGCTGTCCAAACTTTCGAAGGCGATCTAACTCGGCAGGATGTTCCGCGTCCCCCCCACTCCCTCCCCTCCAACCCCCACCGCCCCCTCTCACCAGCCTAACGCCACGCCGCAGCAGGTTGACTGCACTGCAGGTCGAGTCGAGACAAGAGCGGCCATTGGCTCGGCGACCCGCGCAGTCCACAAACCCCAGGTTTTGGTTGGTTGGTTGTTCCGCGGTGGCGGAAATATGGGGGAGGCATGGAAGGGCCATGTGTGGATGTGTGTGTGTCTGAAGTGTGGGATGTGGGGGAGGGGTGGGGGTGGGGGTGGGGGGGGGGGGGGGAGTGGCAAGGGCGGTGAAGAAGAAGATGGAAGGCGGTGGAGAAGAAGATGGATACACTTAGACCGCGGTAATTTTACACCCTGGAAATGGGCGGCAAAAAAACTTTTGTTTCCACACTGACCATTTCTGAGTGCGTAGACAGTACCCCCTTGTCCCTACGGCCAAAACTGGGAAGACTCCACGCGGGCAAAAAACTTTGAGCACTGCCTAAGATGACGTCGGGTTTCCTGACTCCAGAAACACTGAATCGAGCAGTAAACGTTTCGTATAGAAAACCAAGTTCAAATTGTTTTTCAAGGGTATCCAGATCTGGTCTCCAGGAGCTGTTTTCGGGGGGTGAATACCCTCTCGGTGGCATCCCTTGTGAAACTACTGGGTGTAAAAATAACGCAGGCTAGGTGTACATAGCTTGGTTTGGTTTGGATCTCCCCGCCACGAAGCGCCCCCCTGAACTTGACTGGGAAGGACGCATGCGCGCTGCCGGAATGCTGCCCGGAGCCAGGACGAAATGAGATGGCACGGGCAGCAGGATGATGCGTTCACCTACGGTTGCGACGAAATGGAACAACGATAAGGCGTCTTCCAAGTTGGTGTCATTCCAATTTGGTGTCATCCAGGAATCGGAAAACCAATCACGTGCGTTTTGCTGGAAATTTACAGCATTCGACCAAATTTTAGCTTTCCCGGATGACACCAATTTGGGATGACGCCAACTGAAAAGACACCTTCAATTGCACCTGTGCCTGTTACTGAGAGCAGGGACGAATAGGATTGCAGCTTTGATTGTCAGACTGACCGGAAACAAAGTTGTAGGGTATCGTTTTTTGGTGTGCAGTGCTGTGGGGGAATTAACACGTTATAAGATTCAGACACATCAGTGCTGTGGGAGTGTGCAGTGTATGTGCTGTGAGGCTCTAAGTTATTAATTAATCCAGAGTATAGCGCAGAATTCTATAGGGGAGCGTGACTACGATTCCTGTCAATATAAATGAGGCCTATGGCTTATGTAGTGCGAGTTGACCAGGTTGAACCTCGAGAGCTGGACCAGTCAAGGGCTCGATAGTCCCGAGGGCGATGGGGTCAAAATGGGTTCGGGGCGCCTCGGTAACACGTTCGGGGCCGAATAGGTCGGCGGGGGTGGTTTGACGCGAGACTTGAGGGCCGAGGCTGCGGACGGGAGCTGTTCGCGGTACTCGCTGTGGCGAGCCTCATTAAGGATTCGTGAAAATCCTTAAATCCTCCTATATTCTAAGGAAGGCCCTCCGTATATCGAAGGCCGAACTGTCATTAAAAGTAGTCCCTTATGTGACTGTAGGTCTTCAGCACAGTGACAAGCGTAATTATTACGCCGACCGGATCAGGGCATATGTTATCAGGGCATGTGCCCTAACTTAACTGAATTTCTAAGGTGTCTTTGCACCAGCCCTGATTTTCTCTTGGTTCTTTTTTACCCAACCCTGACAAAATCTGGGAAGGTCTCAAGACGACTATGGAAAATCCGAGTAGAGTTTTTTGCAACCCTGATTTTTCTTACTACCCACACCCTCCCCTCCCGGTGCCCCCCCCCCCCCAAGAATAGAGTTTCTCATACTCCCTAACACTCGTCTCTCTTTCAAGGACCCGGCTACCAGGCTATTACTGTAGTTGGGAAGGAGTACTTCCAACACACCCCTAGAACACACGTGACTCCGATAAGCCGCGGAGCGTGGAACAACCTCAAGAAGAATCTTTGAAAATGTGCGCCCTCTGAGCATTTTTTGGCTGGCCCTGAATAAACAGAGAAGTTCAGATTCGGATCTTGGGTTTTCGTGGTGAAATTCGAAGGGAGCCCTGAGCGCTAGAGCTGTTAAAAAACCTAACATGAGCCCTGGTCCGGATGAGGTCTTCAAGTCGAACTGCAATCGATGGTTAGAAATTGTCGAAACGATCGCTTTTAATCGTGGCCGTTGTAGATGGTCAAAATTCCCAGCTGATTGAACGGGCAAGGGTAAATACTACAGCAAAAGCCTTGTGAACAGTGAAAATTGTCGATAAGCGAATGACGTGGCCATTAATCAACATGTAAGGTCGTTCGTGACATATGCGAGAGCACACGTCTGTGTTGTTCCCCAAGTTTCTGCGTGCCCAGTGGTTCAATGGTAGAAAGGTTGGTTGGATAGGAGGAGGGGATTGGTTGTCGAATAGTTTTTCTAGGGAACTCTCAACCAAAGGTAGGAAGCTCAAGTCAAATTTTGGGATATTTGGTACGTGGGCTTTAAAGTTGGCCAGCTGTTCCGTCGAATCTTGAAGAATTCCCTACCCGGTACCCTGAAGTTACCCAGCGCGCCGATGTTCACCCGTCGTCACGCTCATCCTAGTACCAAAGTAGGTCCTAGGCATTATCACGCGTCAAAGTAGCCCGCGTAATCAGGGTCAACTCCCTCCGCTTAGCCGCACTCCAAAACTTTCAGAAACAGTGACGAACTCCTCCAGCTGTAACCCAAGATCTTAAAATAATATTTTATCCCAGACCAGCTGGCCGTGCAAACGTTCACCCATCTCGCGGCTGCTGCAGGTTACCCAAACTGCTTTGCTGCTTAACTAACTCCTTTAAAATTTGCACTGTCAGAGGCGTGGAGGGCACACGACAAAGTCGGCTAGACTAAACAAGTCCCCGCACGACCACTGGACGCATCCTGCCTCCCGACGTGCCAGGGTAGGACACTCGGAATTTACACCCGCAATATTCTGAAACTCCTCTGCTGCACCAGGTGAAACTCTCCGCCCCACTGCTACAGTAACTCTATAAATTCCAGAGACACCCCTTAGCACAATGTAGATTGCAGGTTCACTCCTCTTTCGCCAAGTGTGGACGACCCATAGTCGACACTACAACTTGGTGGGAATGGTGATATTCGGGCGACAAAGCTCCGTAAGCAGGGGATCCTTATGCTGCCTGACGTTTAGCTAAAAACCAGCTTCTCCCAGTCGTTCTTCTTCAACTGCTTTAGCTCTTGACGGTTTGACGCATGCGGTGCCCCGGTGGAAAACACTTCATACACAACCTTAGGTGGTGGCCTCCGTTTCCGTTGATCGTGGGGGTATGAACGCTGCTCCACAAAAACGCCTCCCCAACTCAGGACATCGCCTCGCTAAAATCTTCAAGAACAACTCCATCACCTCCATGTGAAACAACCCATACTGATGCTGTCTGGCTCACCCACCCGTATGACTATGCGATCGTGGCAGTCCGAAATAACCGCAGCCGCCCCTTACTGAAATAGTCTTGGAAGTCCCGTCCATCGCCTGCAACTAGCGTGCAGGAAAACGCCAACGTCAGCGACGCAGCTACACTTCACCATGCAGCCACACGGCACAACAGATGCACATCGCCGCACGTCCTGCCATTTTTGCCCATTTGTGCGCTCCTGGTGACCATCACCCAGTCGCCCGAGGATTCCCGTGCACTTGTCTTCTCCTGATGAGCCATCGCAATTTTCATAAGCCAATCGTAAAAGTCTATCAGAACCTCCAGAAATTACGAAACACTAGCGAACATACCCGAAAAACACGGCAAAAATGTCGCAACTTCTCGACGGAAAATAATTCCGTCTACGCCCGGGGAAAGGGAGGACGGACTAATCCCAGCCGTCCATCG